TGCGGCATATCGCACGTGATTCGCACAGGAACCGCATCACATTCCTGTGCAAATAACATGCGAATTCTGTGCGGTGCGATTTGAGCCATACATTTTGTATGGCTCTAATTGCACCATAGCCACACCAAGAAGGTGCGGGACCCTTTTTTTGGTCCACACTAGAATCGGATCACATGGGTATTCACACCCATGCATCCGATTCTGCACATCGCACCACGTTTTGCTAAATTTCCGGTTGTCATTAACTTAACATACACATCCACATCCACAGTGGTTCGCATGAACAGGGTGCGATTGTGATACGGTGCAAAATTCACACAGAAACCGCTGCAAATTCCACACCGCATCAGTGTGAACCTGTTATCAAAGTAGTTTTCAACCCAAAACAAAAAATTTAATAGAATGCAGCTTACCAATCAGTTGTGGTGGCTGCATTAGATTTCTTTTTATAGGCTTTTTTCCCTCTTTTTACTTGGTGATCTGGCCAGTTACATACCTTCTGAGTTAGAGTGCCTCCACTCTGGATGAAGAAGCACAGAGGCACCTTTAGAAAGCAGCACTGGCAGCCTGGGGGAAGGAAGTGTTAGATGTACTAGATTTAGATCCATTAACAAATTGATGCCAAACTCCAGCTCACACTTTCTAAGCAGTTGCAGCAAACTGTAAATTTTTTTCCCCTTTTGGGATAAATGTTTTACATAAATGAATAAAAGCTGATTATTGTACGCACCCCTGTCAGTGGTAAATGGTTTGTGTCATCCCTCTAACTGCTAAATTTGCAGGACAGCTTGTTCTTTTGAAAAAAAACAGACTTACTGGCTAGATCATCAGCTGAAAAAGGAAAGGAAGCCTAAAAAAGAAAACTAATGCAGCCACACCTTCAATAAATGATTGCTTTTGGGTTTAATACTCCTTCAAACACTAAATGAGTGCTGACAGTATCTGCATTATATTATTGAGGGTTACATGTTACACAGATATCGGAATGTATTACAAGTATGCTAAGATAGCATACGAGTATGCTACTTCTGGAAGGGGAGTGGGGAAGGCAGAATGCAATAAAAAAGGGTTGTCCAACTCCAGTGCTTGAGGGCAGGACTTTGGTATAAACAGAGCAAGTTGCTGACCATATAAACAAACTAAACCAGTGCACAAATCTTCATGCAGACTAGGATAACTGTAACTGTCATTTATTGAGGTGCTGCCCTTAGAAGATCAGGAAATCTTGATACTGGTGAACAAAAGCAAAACAGAGCGCACTTTCTTCGTGCATTACCGTGGTGAAACACAAATTTATTTAAAAGCATAAAAATGCATACTCACAAACCAAAGGGGGATAAAACGGAGAAGAAGAGTCCATAATGACGGTCCAAAGGGACGGTAGACCCTTGGTGAGGTAGGCTAACGCGTTTTGGGAGACATACTCCTTTCTTCAGAGCTCAGTAAGTTGCTGACCATGTAAACCAAACCCTAATTAATTTACTGTTTGATAAATACTAAAAATGTGTGCCGATTCCAGCGGTGGAGGATTACACTTAGACATCCCTGCATTAAAACGAAACAGGCTGAACTGGGTCCAGCAGACAGGCCAGCATCTGAAAATATCTGTGCATTAGCCAGATCAGGGTTGCAGCACAATCCATGACAGTTGATTAAAGCAGAACTAGACCCATGGATTTAAAAGTTTCAAAAAACAGTTACATTCCTGGCATGCTGAGAATGCTGTCACATTTGCTTGTGCTCTCAACTAAATTGTCAAACCATCAAACGGTTGGTGTCATAACTGATCACATGTGCGTACCATGGCAGCTGCAGATCAAACAGAGGCTTAAGATGGCAGCTTCCTTGGCTGAAAAGGATGGGAGGGTTTAGTTCCACTTTAAATTATGCGCCCTTTTAAACTAATCAGTTTTTGATCAATTTTTCAGTGAAAAAAAAAAAAGGGGAATAAAAATTTAATAAAATGCATCCCTTTAAATCCTAGGAAACTCTTCACATTAGTTAGTTGCATTTTGACTGTTTTTCACACTGCAAAAACATGGTAAAATGCATAATCTTCCTCTTTTTTAAACTAAAAAACTGATCAGTGTAAAAAGGACCTAACATTTATCGAAAATGCAGCAAGCAGGACTTTAAAAGAACACAACTGAAATGCAACTTAACGGTGTGATAAGTCCCATAGGACTTAAAGGGATGCAATATGTGTTTTTGCAATGGAGCAATATGAAAGCAGCCAAAAGCACAACTGACCTGTGTGAAGAGTTCCATAGGAGTTAAAGGGAGGCATTTTTCTTCAGCTTTTTTAACTGAAAAACTGATCAATAACTGCTCATTGTAAAAGGGCCCTTTCTCTAGTGATTAACCATTTAACATTCATAATAAATTTCATGCCATGTGAATGTTGGTAGGAGTTAATGTCCCTGGGATTTCTAACGGAAACAAACATCTTACCTCTTTTTCTATTTTCAGAAGTTTCTTCACGGCTACTTCTTTTTCTTGTGGCAACCATTTTGCTCTGTAGACACTGCCGAAGCTTCCCCCTCCACAGCTTTCAAAAAACTGCAGGTCGTTAAATTTAATTTGGACAAACGAAGCGGTTAAGGACGACATCTCATAATGACAAAGAGCAGTTCCAAAATACAACCTGCAATGCAAAATACATTTGTTCAAGTACACACTCCAAAATGAACTGTACTAAAGACAGACATGTAACCAATATGAACAACATTTATTTCCGGTTTAGTAGATGGGGACAAAATTAATTCTGGGAACATTTTCAAATATCCGGCAGTCCTAAGGACCCTTGTTGCTCTTCTTAGAGTTCTGATTACATATAGGTTAGTATTTTAAATGACATCAGGCAAACTAGTAGAGTTTAATATACTTACGGTTAATTTCTCCCCAGACAAAAGTAGAGGTTTTTCAGCTCTGCTGGATGAGATCCCTGTGTTGTCTCTCCCATGGGACACATCACTGTATCATGTTCTCCATGGTCCTGCACAATGATCTGGCCTTCCCACAGGTCTGCTATAGTTAAGTTGTGACGAGTGCCCAGCACACTTTCAACTGTCAGCTTGCATAGCCAGTCTGGAATCTACGGCACGCCATAGCCCTGCGTTGTGCTCACTTCACATTATGGGAGTATTCTTGGCCATTAGCAACAACATAGTTGTGACAAATAGGTCCCGATCAGCTGGCTTACAGGGGTTCTTAGAGCCACTGGAACACCTGAGAGACCCTACTGGACTTTCCAAGCAGATTGTTAAGGTACCTGTACTGTTATTTACATGAGCTTACATAATAATGCTATGCCCAAGGTGCAACCCCCCCCCCATGTAGATGAGCTTGAATTCCAAGAATGGCCCTTACGTTTCTAGCAGATGACTGGGTCATGTTCCCATTCTTTTTTTAGATGTACAAAATAATGTCTGCCTGCACCATTTACTGTACCACTGGATGGCCATTCTACAACACGCTCTAAAGCTAGCTAGCCTACTCTCAGATGCAAACCCTTGCAAGTACCAGCACTTCCATTCCATTATATTAGCTGGAAGCACCACCTATGCTGCACCAACACAAGGAAAGCTCCTGTTACATTTTAAGGCCTCATGCACACAGGGCGGGCATCCAGGGGAGGAAACAAAGTGTTAAAAACTCACCTAAAGCCATCTTTTGCAAACACATTAAGACGTGTCAAGCACTTGGGTGTTCATTCGTTCCACTGGCCAGAATATGATTTTTTTCTGGCCATTGGAGCAAATAAATGGTCAATTCACTGGATTCATGAATTTAGGAATGAAGAACAAACCCATTATTTTGCTTTGTGATAGAAGCAGAAAGTTTGGAACTTAAAGCCGAACTTAACTGTATCCGAGCACCACAAACTGAAAATGCTATTTAACCACTTCAACACCGGGCACTTTTTACCCCTTGCTGCCCAGGCTAATTTGCAGCTTTCACCACTCTCACACTTGAATGACAATTGCACGGTCAACACTGTACCCATATGAAATTTTGCGCCTTTTTTTTTTTTTTTTTTTTTTAACACAAATAGAGCTTTTTGGTTGTACTTAACTACTTCAGGTCCGGACACTTTCACTTGCTTCTTCTCCAGGCCAATTTTGCTATCACACTTTGAATGACAATTGCGTGGTCATGCAACACTGTACCCATATGAATTTTTTTGCATTTGTTTGAGACAGATAAAACTTTATTTTGGTGGAATTTATTCACCACTGGGATTTTTTGCTATATAAATTAAAAATTCCAAACATTTTGAAAAAAAAAAAGTGTTTTTCTTATAAAATTTTGCAAAGAAATAATCCTTCTTCATAAATGTTGGCCAAAATGTATTCAGCTATCTTTTTAGTAAATAAAAAATAACCCAAATTAGCTTATAACCAAAAACTATAATTTTTCACATTTTTTTTTTACTTTTTTATATTATTTGGTTTTTTTTTTTTTAACATACCATCACCCTAGCAGGACAGTGTCACCATAGTGACACTGTACTACTTGTGGGGGGTGATGAAGATTTTTTTTTCTTTTTTTTTACACTGATTGCTTTTACACCCATAAAGGCTGTAAAAACAGTCATTTCTCCTTCTCTCTGGCTGCATTCTTGCAGCCATTGAGAAATACTGTGAGAGCTGCGATTGGTCACAGCTTGTCACATGATACAAGGCTGTTGTGAATAGCCCTGTACCATGTGAACTCTGTGATCACAGATTTCACATGTAATAAGCAATGTCAGGAAGTGACATCTTGTTTACCAGGGCTTAAAATTTCAAGTCTTGAACCACTAGCCAGGCCTTAGAGTTACTCACCACCAACAAACACACACAAACAGAGACACCTGTGTACACACACACACACACACACACACACACACAAAAAACATGTACACACACGCACAGAGACATATGTACACACACACACATACATACAGAGACATGTATACACATACAGGCACGTACAGACACGCATGCACACAGATACATGTACATACACAGAAATACACACGCACAGACACGTACATACGTACACATGTACGTACGTACACACACACACACACACACACACACACACACACACACACACATGTACATGCACACACAGACATGTACATACACGCAGACACATGTACAGATACACACATGTACATACACACAGACACATGTACAATTGTACATGCATTGTACATACACAGACACACACACACACACACACCACCACCACCACCCCCCCCCCCCCCATAAAAAGTTGCAGTACTTTGTTGTTCACTCACAGATCCGGGCACTGCACTCTAGGGGGAGGCAGAGAGCACAGCACACTCTCCTTGCTTTGCTTTCACTGCGCTCAGCTATTGAGCAGTCTGACGGCTTCCAGTTCTAATGACAGATCCGGCCTGAGCTCCAAGCCTGCTCAGCAAGATGGCCCTGGGGGACACACTGGCCCCCACCATAATTTCCACTCGCCATTGGCGAGCAGGCGAGTGGAAATTTCAAGCCCTGTTTACTACTATGCATGTGATCACTGATTGGCCAATCAGGGATCACATGAATTGGGACCTCACACAGAGGTCCTGTACAGCAATCACAGCGGGCACCGGACTGCGGGGAGCATGCACAAGCAATGAATGTGGGGGCCATTTATAAACGGCAACCTGCTTCGGCACTGCTCCCGTCCGGTCATTTATGTACATGGGCCAGATGGTAAGTGGTTAATCAGCACTGGGTTTTTTTATTTTTTGCTAAATAAATGGAAAGAGACCAACAATTTTGAAAACAAAAACAAATGCGTTTTGATTCGGTTCTGTTCTAAAATTTTGCGAATAAATAATCCTTTCTTCAAAAATGTAGGCCAAATGTATTCTGCTAATTTTTTTTGGTGTAAATAACCCAAATCAGTGTATATTATTTAGTTAGTAAGAAAGTTATGGAGTCCACAAACTATAGTATATTTCTGAAAATCAATCAATCCTGAATCTTGATATCTAAAAATGTCAGGACAGTACAAATAACCCCCAAATGACCCCTTTTTGGAAAGTACACAGTCTGAGGTATTTAGTAAGAGGCATGGAGAGTTTTTTGAAGTTGTCATTTTTTGTTACAATTTTTTGGAAAATGAAGAAATTGCACATTTTTTCCCCCACAATCTTTTTTTTTTTTTTTTTACATACGGTTACCAATGCAGTACATCATCATCATATACTCGGTGTGGCAATGATCATGGACACTGACTGGTGACAGTATTTAAAAAAACAAACCAAAAAACAATTTTAATTATTGCATTTTTTTTTTTACCTCTGTGACCAGACCAATACAGTGTTACCATAGTAACACTATGCTACTCTGGGCAAGTGATCAGGATTTTTTTTTTTTCTACACAATATGGTTGCTTATACCAGTGAATTTCACTGATATAAACAACCATTTTTACTGAATGAAATGGTTTCATTCAGTATGTATTTTTGTGATTGGCCACAGCTAAATCACATGGTACAGATGGGCTGTGATTGGCCCTCTCTGTACCATGTATTCACAGCTAGCAACACAACTGTAAGCAATTATAGGCATAAAAAGAAGCCATTCATTGTTTACAACTGTTGTGATCTGCTGTGATTGGTCACAACGATCATATGGTACCAGCAGCAGGCCGGTACAGTGATCAGTCATCGGCTGTATCCGGTGGACATAACCGGTGACTGGTCGCGCCACCTTGTGGCCACACGTAAGGTGCGTTCCAAGAGGTTGTCATATGATGTCCACCTGGAATGACTAAAGTCCCTCCCAGCCGTCATAATAGGCTAGGCAGGAACTGGTTAATTAATTTTTTACTATTCAAAACAAGCACATCCATCCATGTCTCCATGCTTTATTTTGTTCATTACATTGAAAAACAACCCACTAGCACTTCTAGCCATGGCCATCTAGAGTAAGGGCAGAGGATTCATGTAACATTTACTTCCTAGACTTCATCTGCCTTAGCTCAGGCATGCAGGCAGGATGGTGTGTTTAGCTGAGAAAGCCCCTCCTATCAAAGAAAGAATAAAATGCCCATGAAGACTACTGGGATGTATGATATCACTTTAGCCTAGGTAAGAAACCAGTAAGCAACTGAAGAAATATAAAAAAAAAAAAAAAGTTTAAAACAAGTAAATATAATATACTTTACTATCCATTTACTACTGCTAGCGGTATAAGAATTAAAAATAGTTAAAAAGTATAACTAAAGGCAAAACTTTTTTTTTTTTGTTTTGAGTAGAGTGGAGAGAAATTAGAACATCTGTCAGTTTTTACTGTAGCCTGTGCCCCCTTTAGGGAGATTCACACTATTTGTCCTATTTACCATTATCATCTAAAGTGAAAGTAAAAGAAACCCCAAATCTTGAGCTGTCCCCATAAAAGTAATAGGGGGAAATTTTTCAATGGGTTCACTAGTTCTGGGCACCCAAGAGGTAAAAAGGGAAAACTGACTTGCAGTTCCCCAGGACAGGTCAGATCCTTATATGGGACCTGGAATTTGGAGCTTGGGGAGATATTTTGGTGGGAAAGAGCCTCAAACTTTGACTATGGGTACTCACACCTCCCGTTCCTATGTTTTCGTGCATAGGACATGGAAAAAAGTCTAAGCGACTCAACTATACAAGAAAACATAGGAACTGGGGTGCAGAAAAATGACAGCAGGTGCTCTGGACTGATGAGTCAAAATTTGAAATATTTGGCTGTAGCAGGAGGCAGTTTGTTCACTGGAGGGCTGGAAAGCAGTAGAGTAATAAGTTTCTGCAGGCAACAGGAAAGAGTGGTGGAGGTTCCTTGTAAGTCTGGGGTTGCATTTCTGCAAATAGAGATGGATATTTGGTCAGGATCAATGATGTCCTCAATGCTGAGAGATAAACACAGACACTTGTCCATCATGCCATACCTTCAGGGAGGTGTGTAATCAGCCCTACATTTATTCTGCAGCACCACAACTGTTATTAACCACTTCCCGAACGGCCGTTGTATATAAACGGCCGGACGGTGGCACTGCAGGGTCGGGTGGCCGTCTATAAACGGCCTCCCCGCACCCTGCTTGTGCGCGCTCCCTGGGAGCAGCGCGCAGCACCGCGATCCGGTGCCCGCTGTGTCCTCCGGACACAGTGAAACACCGATCGTCGGCCAATCAGTGATCACATGCAAAGTAGTAAGCAAGATGTCACTTCTGACATCATTGCTTACTATGTGTGAAATCTGTGAATGATCACAGAGGTCACATGGTACAAGGCTATTCACAAAAGCCTTGTACCATGTGACAAGCTGTGACCAATCACAGCTCACTCTGTATTTCTCAATGAGTGCAGGAATGCACACAGAGAGAAAGAGAAATGATTGCTTTTATATCCTATATGGGTGTAAAAGCAATCAGTGTAAAAAAAAAAAAAAAAATCTTTATCACCCCTCACAAGTAGTACAGTGTCACCATGGTGACACTGTACTGCTAGGGTGACAGTATGTAAAAAAAAATAAATAAAAAAAAAAATAAATAGAAAGAAATAAAATAAAAATGTAAAAAAAAAATGTTTAAAAATTATAATTTTTGCTTATAAACTAATTTGGATTTTTTTTTTACTAAAAAGATAACGGAATAAATTTTGGCTAAGATTTATGACGAAATATTATTTATTTGCAAAATTTTATTAAAAAAACACTTTTTTAAAAAAATTTTGGACATTTCATTTACATAGCAAAAAAAATACAAATTCCAGTGGTGAATAAATACCACCAAAATAAAGCTTTATCTATCTAAAAAAAAATGGTAAAAAATTCATTTGGGTACAGTGTTGCATGACCGCGCAATTGTCATTCAAAGTGTGATAGCGCTAAAAGCTGAAAATTGCCCTGGTCAGGAAGGGGGTAAAAGTGTCCGGTCTGGAAGTGGTTAAGAACTATCTTTAGCCTAAAGAAGAACAAGGAGTCCTGGAAGTGATGGTTTGGCCACCACAGAGCCCTGATCTCAACATCATCAAGTCTGTCTGGGATTACATGAATAGACAGAAGGTTTAGAGGCCGCCTACATCCACAGAAGATCTGTGGTTAGTCCTCCAAGATGTTTGGAACAATCTACCTGCCGAGTTCCTTCAAAAACTGTGTGCAAGTGTACCTAGAAAAATTGACGCTGTTTGAGGGCAAAGGGTGATCACACCAAAATACTGAATTGGTTTGGATTTCTCTTTTGTCAATTTACTTTCCTTTTTGTTAATTCATGAAAATAAACTATTAACACTTCTATTTCTGAAAGCATTCTTAATGTACAGCATTTTTTTTACACCTGCCTGAGACTTTTGCACAGTGCTGTATGCCAGGTTATACTCTATCGCTCTCTTATGCCAATGCACAAACAAGGGCAAATTGTGTTTCCTTCATTTGTTCTGTGTCAAAGGCACTGTGCAAAGTGTGTTTATGTAATGGGTTGTTATTCCAGATCTCAGACCTGTAGACAGGAATAGAAGAGTCTTAATCCTTCCCATAAGGACAATCATCAGAAGGCAGAGAACAGACAAGTCCCAAAAGCCTTGTACCTGCACTGAACTGATATGGTTTAGCTACTATATCAGCACTGCCTACTACATAATAGTTTAGTGTGAATGCAAAAAAAGAAAAATAATATTGCACTAAAGTGAACAGTAAAACAGGAAGGAATGCAGTGGTCTCATTTTTAGCACAGTGATCTTCATATTTGTTTTCCATCCTCTACAGTTTTAACTAGTCGCATAACCAGTACAAATACAGTCAGGTCCATAAATATTGGGACATCGACACAATTCTAACATTTTTGGCTCTATACACCACCACAATGGATTTGAAATGAATCGAACAAGATGTGCTTTAACTGCAGACTGTCAGCTTTCATTTGAGGGTATTTACATCCAAATCAGGTGAACGGTGTAGGAATTACAACAGTTTGCATATGTGCCTCCCACTTGTTAAGGGACCAAAAGTAATGGGACAATTGGCTTCTCAGCTGTTCCATGGCCAGGTGTGTGTTATTCCATCATTATCCCAATTACAATGAGCAGATAAAAGGTCCACAGTTCGTTTCAAGTGTGCTATTTGCATTTGGAATCTGTTGCTGTCAACTCTCAAGATGAGATCCAAAGAGCTGTCACTATCAGTGAAGCAAGCCATCATTAGGCTGAAAAAAAACAAAACAAACCCATCAGAGAGATAGCAAAAGCATTAGGCGTGGCCAAACAACTGTTTGGAACATTCTTAAAAAGAAGGAACGCACTGGTGAGCTAAGCAACACCAAAAGACCCGGAAGACCACGGAAAACAACTGTGGTTGGATGACCGAAGAATTCTTTCCCCGGTGAAGAAAACACCCTTCACAACAGTTGGCCAGATCAAGAACACTCTCCAGGAGGTAGGTGTATGTGTGTCAAAGTCAACAATCAAGAGAAGACTTCACCAGAGTGAATACAGAGGGTCACACCACAAGATGTAAACCATTGGTGAGCCTCAAAAACAGGAAG